TATATGCATGCATGGGAGAATGGCCAGATGGCGGGTGGCCGCCAGATGTCGCCGCCAGCTGGAGGGTGCTGACAGATGGCATTGGGTCGGGGGAGCTGACCGTTGGGTTTTGCCAGCTGGCGCGGGTGTGGGGCGCGTGGCTTTCGGTTTGGCCATCTGGCTTTCGGTCTGGCCGCGTCCCAACGCGGTGGGTGCTGTAGGTGAGCAGGCTGGACAGCTGGCGGGCGCTGGTGCAGCCAGGTGGCCCGCCGTCCAACACTCCCACGCAGACTGCTCAACTGCAGGGGGTGATGCCCATGGCGGTGCGGCAGTAGTCGAACTTGGTTGCCGGCACGCTTGGTCAGGGAGTCGGCGACCATGTGGTCAGTCTTGATGTAGGAGAAGGAAACGTCGTTGCGTGCCACGCGCTCGCGGGCAAAGTGGTAGATGACGTCGATGTGCTTGGAGCGCATGGAGAAGACGGGGTTCTTGAGCAGCTTGATGGCGCCCTGGCTATCAGCCAGCATGGGGATGGTTTGGATGGGCTGGCCCAGGTTGCCCAACAGGGTGCGCAGCCAGAGGGCCTCCTTGATGGCGGCGGCTGCCGCCATGTACTCGGCCTCGGTGGTGGAGGCCGCCACGGTCTGCTGCAGGCGGCTGGACCAGCTGATGGCACCGCCGTTGAGGATGAAGACGTAGGCGGTGGTGGAGCGCCGGGTGTCGATGTCGCCGGCGTAGTCTGCGTCGCAGTAGGCCTCCAGCCCGGGGCCGCTAGCGCCAAAGGTGATGCCGTAGTTGGCGGTGCCCGCCAGGTAGCGCAGCACGCCCTTGGCTGCCTGCCAGTGGGCGAGGCTGGGCTTGGACATGTAGCGGGCGAGAGCTCCCACGGCTTGGGCGATGTCGGGGCGTGTGCAGACTGACAGATACAGCAGGCTCCCAACCAGCTGAGCATAGCCGGGGGTGCGTGCGTCCATGGGCTCGCCGACGCAGGTGAGCTTGGTGGCGGTGCTGAGTGGGGTGCTCAGGGGCTTGGCCTCACCCAGGTTGAACTTGGTCAGCAGGTCAGTCGTCATGCGCTTCTGTGCCAGCTTGATGGTCCGGTTGGCGCGGTCGCGGATGATCTCCATGCCCAAGAAGTAGGTGACAGGGCCCAGGTCGCGGGCGTCGAAGGCAGCCAGGATCTGGACCTTGGTGGACTGCAGCTCGGCGACGTCGATCGAAACGACTAGGATGTCGTCGACATAGATGAGTAGGTAGATGGGGTCGGCGCCGGGCTTGATGAAGAGAGCGGGGTCGGCGCTTGACTCGATGTAGCCCATCTCTTCCAGCACGGACTTGAGCTTCTTGTGCCAGGCCCGGGGCGCCTGCTTCAGGCCGTAGAGTGCCTTGTTCAGGTGGCAGGAGATGTCATCGTTGCCCTCCTCGTAGCCAGGGGGCTGCTGAATGTACACCTCCTCCTCCAGCTCGTCGTTGAGGAAAGCAGTCTTGATGTCCAGCTGGT